TTTGTATCCATTGCACTTATTTGGGGTGACAATAAATAGATGTCAAAATTAGTCGCTGACACCAAACTTTATGATTCAGTTCTTATTTGACTGTGTATATAAAAAATGTTTGATAAACATGAGTGGACTAAAGAAAAAGATTCAATTTTATCATTCTAATCAATAGCAAGAGAAAATAATTGGACTCTCTGTTGTCAGTAAGTTTTTCTGTTTTTTTATGCAAATAATTAACAATTATTCACTGAAGTGGAGATGAATAGGGGTGGATAATTACCGAACCGCGAAGCAGCTAAGAAAACATCATCACTTTCACCGACACTGATACCAAAATAATAGTAAATTTCTTTCAATATACCAAAAAAATGGTCGGAAATTAAACACTCGACCCGCGATTTGGACTCATCGGCTGCTCGGAGATGAATAGCACTTGCTAGTCACTTCCAAACTAGCCAATCAGTGCGCGCGAACAGCACTACATTCCCTTATGTGGCATATACTCTTGCCTGGATATTTCCCACTCCCCAAAGACTGTGTTGATATTTTCAGGAAAGACCCTCCGATAAGATATCAAACCCTACAAGAAATTAGGAATAAATGCATAAAATAAATTAAATAGATATATAAAACGTTTCTTTTTGTCTCTTTTGAATTTCGGAAATGGCAGTATGATAATGTACAAAGAGAAATACATTTTCCTGTACTAGAAGAAATAACATCTTCGAATTTAGTAATGGATAGAAGGACCTGCGTTACCACTTTGCAGGGCAGTTGCACGTAACGTTAGAGGAAAGCAAAAATTTTTTCGCAATCGCTGGATTCAGTATATACATACTTACACTTTCAGTGAAGAATTATTCTCTCTTACGGCGGTACCACAGAAAATTACCACGGATATCATAATTTCACGGAATAAACTCACGAACTTTTTTACCAGAGATGGCCAAAATGTACCGGTGTAATCCTAATCGACAAGACTATTCGAATTACGCAAGGGTTTCAATGAAAAGCCGACGAACTATTGCCGGTCTACAACTGCTGTAACTTAGACCTCTCACCACCGTCTGTTTTGCACGGCTACGAGCAGCCGTCTCGTGTTTGGTTTTCGCCGGCTGCAGCCGCTTAAAAATGCAACCCTTGAAACTAAGTACATGTAAATTTTTCTCTTCAAATTAACCAGTAATTTCTGTACAAATAAAGTTCTTTCAGGCGTCTTTTTGCAATACCTATAGTCACACTATCTCTTGCTTGAAAAAAGTTCCACACACTCTGGCTAGATTGCTTGAAATAGACTTAACTACAACAGTCAAAAGACCGAGACATTTTGTAATGCTCACTATGAATATAATGCAAAAAAGGAGAAGAACTTCTCCTCCTTGAAAGTTACCTGGCCAAGCGGACCTTTTTAAACGACTTGTCAGCTTTGTTCCAAATGACTTTCTCTAAAAGCTTTTTCCCCGAGGTCTTTTTTAAGTTAATCTTCCCTAATTTCACGAAAAAGTCTTTTCTAGGAAGCACATGTTTCTCGTACTTGGCTTTGGTTTTGGTAAATCATAACTAAAAATATTTCGTGCTTAGTAGCTGGCGCTCATCCAGATTCGCGTAACTAATTGTTTTCCAACACCTACTCGGGCACCTGCCCTCAGTGGATAGCAAAAGGATCTGGCACTTTCTCAGGCTCGTAATGAATTTACTTTCTCAACAATCATCTGACCCATTGATGAAGAACAAATATTAAAACGTGAAGGGTAGCGTTCCTGCTGAAGGAAAATGCGCGAAATTGTAACACAAAATTGACCGGAGCTACCAATTCAAACTGCGCATCACTTTTAAAAGCTCGTTGCTTTTAGTTTTCAAGGAGTAGATCTCAAGTAAAATGATGATTGTTGAGGTTTCTCAGGCAACAGGCTTTTTTTAATGTTGAGTAACGGTAGCTTGATTACCTCTACAAAAGTGAATAATGAAAGTCGCCAGTGATTTTGGTAGAAGGTCGGATACTCTCACGGCAAATGGTATGTGATGTAAATAAGCAAACCCTGATTCTAATATTTTACTACTGAGTCGGATGAAGGTTAATTTTGCAAAAATCAAAATCAATTATTATTCAGCTTTGTCAAGCTAAGGACAAGTTTTTCATGAATGTGAGCAAAAATTGCAGTAAACAGGAAAATTTAAGATGACCGGGTGTCTGTTTTTAAACTTACATTTTTGTTTCGCCGATTTATTTGTAAGTTTTCTCTTCCATAAAGTCATGTGAGGGCGGTGTGCAAACTCTCGCCGGGAAAGTTAAAATAATCATTCTAATTTCGGATCCCCTCTATACAATGTTACTGTTGTACAATGATGTTTGTCATCGTGTTACTACAAATTGAATTTGACCTTGCTTGACCTTAGCTATAAAGATCATTGGCATTCTGGATGCAAATCGCCACGAATCGAATCTGAGCCAATATTTCAAAGCTGAGGAGTTAACTAAAAGAAATATTACAAACAGTTTAATCGGATTTTACTAATCGGATTACCAAATTTTTACTGATCGGATTTTACTAAATCGGATTTTACTAATGTAAACCTAGATATTCAAAGTTCAGAGGCTGCCATTTGTTAGTTAGTTTCTTTTTTTTTTTTTAGATAATTTGTTACTCGACATTTTCATGTATTTTTCGATTTTAAGGATTTTATCTTAATTTGTTTGTAAATATTTTTCATGATTCGAGTGAATTATCATTATCATAGTGTGTATCCCCTAGTCAGTTTCTTACATTTTTATTAGACATTTTAACACGTTTTTTTCGATTTTCAAGCATTTTATCATAATTTTTGTTATAATTTTTTGTGATTATGGTAAATAAAGGATTATATTTTAAATTAAGTTTAATTGAGATAAATTTTCCCCAAACTACCACTGATTAGATAGGAAGAGGAGCGCAACGAACAACAAAGAATTAAATACCAAACATCTTAGGTGCGGCGAACAAAAGGCGAATGACATTTACAATGCACTGAACAAATCAACAATGTCAAGGTTACAGGTCATTAAAGAAGTCAACGGCTCGAACAGAACTGCAGAGAGCTAGTTTCGACTGAAGAGCTCAGATGCAGGCACTTATTGACAAGACGGTAATTTTATTTCCTTTCAGTAACACAAAGAAAATATTACGCATCGTCCGATTGGTTAATTCAGTTTCCAAGCGGATGCTTTATCAGCTTATGGAGCCCGCATGCTACTAGTTATGTCAAAAAGTAATAGAACACATTTTTCCCGGGCTCTCTAACGTGTCAAAGCCACTTGGGATGCTAGAAAAACCCTCGGAAAGCTTATACGAGCTGAAGGCGAGTGCTTTCTAAGTTTTCCTCGTGTTCTCCCAACATCTCGCGTGGCTTTATCACGTTAGAGAGCCCGGAAAATGTATTCCATTGCTAATTAACAATTATTCCACGAGCGCGCTANGGGAAAAATAATATATTTCGCGACAATAATGGATACAAACAGAAACTCGGCCTACTAGTCCGAAAACGAAGACAATGTTTCGACCTTTTCCCTTGGGCTAGAGTTCTTAAATGAGGCAGAAAAAGAGAAAAACAAAGGAAAAGGAGACTCGGCATCAGCGCCGTCACGATTCGCTTCAACTGATATTGTTGTCCGTTTTTCGCGTCGGATTTTGATGCACAATTCCACCGGCTATGTTCTAAAACAATTGGTTCATGCTTTCAGCTGTGCACTATCGAGTTATGGAGCACGTGGGAAGTTTGGAGAGCACTCAAGAAGCTAGAGTTGCCCTCGGCTATCGCCTCGGGCAACTCTTACGCTTCTTTCGTGCTCTCCAAACTTCCCGCGTGCTCCATAACTCGATAGTGCACGCTAAAGCATGAACCAATTGTTAAATCAGGGGCGGTTGAAGACAGAAAATGGCTACTCGCATTTGTGTTCGCTCGTCAAAGTACTCTCTCAGTACAAGCGAAAAATGATACTCGCAAATGATACGCCTGAAAAAAAATTTAAGCTTCGACGTGACTGGACTATCTGCCCTCCAAATACTAGATAGACTAGAAGTGGGCTTTTAACAATTAAGCAACGAGGCCACAGGAAGGGAGGGAGGAGGCAAAATTCTCAAGTTTCTTCGTTTCATTAAATTACTGTGTGTTTGGGTTTTTAACGTAATTCAAAAATATTTTTCCTGTCGAAAATATTACCATGTCTCTGTAGAAGTTGACGCAGTACATAGTACCTCGTGGTTATATGATCAGTAGCCGAAAATATCCGAGCATTTACGAGTTCATATTCGGTGCACAACGATTACGATTGGCATTGTTCGGTTTAACTTCGAACTGATATTAACCTTCAGTTACCAAAATATAGCCATCTGGTAGTTCATTTGATACTAAATGACGATCATTTCCCTCTTTCCCTAGGTGGGATAGAGTACACCAGAAGAGAGGAAAGGTTTTTAACTATTAACTGAAGAAAAAATCCGAGAATTTTTACTCTGAGACAACCTACTATGTTCAGCCATGGAACTAAACGGGGTTCAGAAAAGGGTGACAGCTACCTGCAAGAGCGACCAATCAAATCGTGGTTGAATAAACAGGTCACGAGACGAAATAGAAATTGCCTTTCATCATTTCTATTTTTGTCAGAAAATTCACGTTTCATATGTTTTTGCAGTTTTGCATCGGCAAAGCTTAAAGAATTTTTTCTTTTTCGTGTTGGTCAACCTTTTTAATTATAAGACTAATCTGTTTCCTTTACTCGCATATAAATTAAAATATTCTGATCTACGGTAATTCAGTGCTACAAAAATAAATACAAAACATATATATTAAGTCGATGTAAACTTTATCAGTATCTGGCATATGTACTTCAACTTACTCCCACAAAGATAGGTCAAATAGCCTGCTCGGTTATAAACTGTAGATTAAAACAGGAAAGCTGATTTTTTTTCTGGCCATCTAAATTTTTAGCTTTCGGTAAGAGACAAAGCGAAATATATCAATAAACTTACCTCACAGCTTGACCAAACAGTTAAATTCTAGCAGCTTAGCAGCAACGAGAATAATAGAGTCCTGCACGCCCATATCAAGATTCAACGGAAAACATCCTCAGAGAACGAAAAACAAGATAACAAAAGCAGTAACACTTAAAGCCAAGGTATGGTAAGCCACTGGTACTTTAAACCCAGGGGCCTTGTAAAAGTAAAAAACTCGAGCAGAATTTTAAACTGAGCCCACGGGTTTTTTGGCTGCTGCAGTTAACCGAATTGTTAATCGTGGTCTATTTTCGTTCCCAGGAGGGTCTCGGTCAACTGGGAAAAATTCCTGACAAAATGGGATAACACGTGCACACAGGGGGACCAGACAAGCGACGAGTCTGGTTGTTTATTCGAAATATAAAGGAATGTATGGGAGAATATTGAAGAGTCTTATTATCGTAAACTTATATCATGAAATGTCTGAGTTAAAGCTCAAAATAAATGTAAACCTACCTCACTTGCTGTGTATTGTCGTTTCCGTGGCTCTAAATGGCGAATTTGAGCGATTTGGTGGGTTTTGCGTCGACCGTTACCATACCTTATAAGGAGACAAGGGTGGAAAGCTCATTTTCGACCGCTCTAGCGTGAAGCCGATTTTCACCCAGAAATAAGAATCACCCGGCTTCCAAATCGAAAACCAGATAAACTGAAAGGTTGACGCTTCTTCTCGTCGCATTCAATCGAAGATCCATTCAAAATTCAAGTGCTAACCGCCGAAACATTTTCGAGAAATGCAGCTTTCGAAGCGATCAGCATCCGCGGCACAGATTTGGTGTGCCAGGGAGTAACCGTCACGCTGTTTGCTCCACGCTGATTGGATGATGGCAAACAATGCCCGATTACAAATGCCTCATGTGGGAGTGGAGTCAGGGGGATATTTGCGCCACCGATTCATCTATTGACTAGCCTGGTGTGAGCCGTCGTATCGGAAAAAGGAAACAATAAACACTTATGACTTTTCTTCGAGAAACAGGTTATTTTGTTGAGAATCGAAGGAAAAAAATGAACAGCTTTCTGAGGGACCAGACGATAAGTGATTCGTTTTGACTCGAAGAGGAATTTGGGGGACGCAATGTGAAAGCAAAACGAACATTTCTTGATAAATTACATGTTAGCACTTGCGAGGGCAAAACACTACAATGCTAAAATGTCACGCCACCTTCAATCACGCTATATTTACGTGCATCAGCGGTTGTAGATCAACATTGCATTGTTATCCTCTAACGCCATTTTGCTTGCTCAACGACTTTTGACAGGAAATAGTTTCTTTTGTGAATTTCACGTGACCCCAAAGTAACCAATTAGAGTATGTGCTGTTGGGGACTGAATATACCAGTTATGTAACAATGAAAATGAATATTCGCCTTTCCCCAACTTCTACCCCCACCATCGCCCCCATTTCCAAATCAAACATCGCCGGTTGAGTAAACGATTGCGAGCTGGTTAACGTGAAGTCGCCCTACTGAGGAGCGACACTGCAGGCTAAAGCAAGGGTAACTTTCCCTTCCAGTCTCAAACCACAACATACTCAGTTTAAAATATCTACAGTATGTACAAACTTTCATAAATTTACACAACCTTTTTCATCTTGTTTACAAACTATTTACAGACCTACCATCGATAATGATTGATTATGGCAAAGTAACCTTTTAATCTATAAATGCTCCGGTCATTGCACGTGCTAGTATCATCAAAATAGTACATCAAAGCCAACTCCTTTCTATCTAGATCGACAGAAAAAACAATTACCCCTGACAAACAAAGGCTTCGCTACACTTAAATAACTCAGGCTCTGCAGATGAAATCTGGAAGATATAGAACTCCTCATAATTGCTAAAAAGGAACAAACTGCGCGATAAAGCGTTCGAAGAGAAAATCTTTCCAAAATTTCACTCAATAGCGTTCCTGATATTGCTTACATTGTAACGAACCAAAAAAAACGCAAGTTTAGAAAAGCTCTCTGCTCTTGTTACGAAGAAGGGCTAGTATAGAACGTTTCGAAAGAAACTGGCTGTAATTTTCTCAGCGTCAAACATGCAAAAAAAAAAATACTGTTTTCTTCTTTCAAGAAAAAGTGATATTTCCCATCGGATTAACATAAAACCCATTTGTCATATTGAAGTGACAAACACTGCCCAATTTAATATTTACATCAAAAAGTCGAAGTATAACGACTCGACAAGAATCAGATGGGTTGCGTGATAGTTTAGTGACCAGCACTGCACGTCACACAGTTCAATCGTCACTCAAATCAGAGTCGGTTTCATCATCTTGAGTCCGCTGACCTGTAACGTGAAGAGAAAATATACCATAAATACCATATCTGTTCGTGATACAAAGAGAAGATCGTCTGGCATTTCAAGTAAACTTCAATAACCTCCTAACTGGTAAAAAGAAATTGACGCGATATTCTTCACCAGTGGAGTCTCATCAATCATGTGACTGGTGGCAATATTTGTGATCACAAAATAACTAAGTACGCGTGCTCTCATATGTCGATAGATGTGTTGGGACCGCGTCTAGGATTTTGCAGTACCTTCTTGACTTTTCCCAAATCCCCTTCGTGTTTGGAAGGGGCTATTTAAAAACGGAAAATGTCATATTGCTAAATAGCAACAGAAAAAAACCTGTATAGTAATTATTAGCTTACAAGCAAGCGCTCATCAAGAGCGCTTCGGCACGTGCATTTTCTTCGCCTACCGGAACGTATGATAATATGAAGCTTTGAGCAACACGAGCTAACGAGAAGTCTGCAAGAATTCCGGTACTGATTATTTATTAGTGCCGGGCCCACGCCAAACTTGTTCTAGACTCGCCTCAAATCTTCCCGCAAGCGGAGTCACGCATAGGCTGCAGCACTAACAATGACGGCCTGCCCGCAGCCTAACTAATTGTAGCCTTGAAAACCTACCAAACCTGGCGTGATTCAGAGAGGCCAGCATACGTATCATGAAAGAGGCCGGTACTGTTATGGTGTCCCTACTCTCCTCCAACATCTTTTCATTGCGGCCAATTATCTTCAAAGAGAACAATATTTAACGTAATTACACAAGAAGCAAGAGTCCTAAGTCTTAAAACTTTAATCAACAGTTCCACAAGAGACGTTTTCATCGTTGTACAACGTCAAAAAACCGAAATTGCACACAAACCTCATCTTTGTCTTTAGGTTCCATAGGTTCCTTAGCAGAAGGTGTCCAAAGTTTGATATCATAGTCAATTCCACTTGATGCCAAAACTGTTGAAACAAATGTGTAGTTGAATGACCTAAATCTCACTCTCTCATTCTTATCTGTTACAGAAGGCACAAAAGGAGGCAAAAGACGTGTATAGATCAGTGTAATAGATGACTTACTTGGGTCAAATGGGTGTGGCTGAACACAGTTGACTACGTGTTTATCACCTTGAAGAATCATCACCAGTTCGGCACTGTATTTTTCCCAGATGAAGATTCGACCACAATCACTTCCACTGAGAACGTATTCATCGCCCCAAAAGTTAGCCTCCTTGATCTACAGAGCATAAGCAAGCAAAGTTAAGATTCTAATTTTCTGTCCTAAAAGTAGTTTGAATGATTCTGGTTTGGTCTTTCTATTGAGAACTCCTAAATAAATCACTGCCTAATTTTCGTGAGTGAGAAACGCACTGGACTAATGGTCAGCACAATGTATTGGACTTCAAATCGAGATATCTTCATTAACAACCTGGTCGAGTCATTGTGTTAGCACAACGGTCACAAACAACTTCGCATGTGCGCATGTTGTATTGGCGTGGTGTCGTGCTATTTAGCGTGCTATGTAGCGGTCAGGACCAAATTGTCTTACTGAGGTACAGTGGTGTTCAGGACTTCTCTTGCGTGCTTATCGAGAGGCCTACGCGTTCCACAAGCTTAAAATTCAACCTAGGTGTTAATTTCATTTCCTTTTATGTTACAAAAGTAAATGTGCAAGCTTCACTAACCATTGTTCGTGCATTTCGATGGCCCTTGTAGACTCGTGTCATTTCAGGAATCCACAGATCCTTTCCTTCACACTCCACACTCGACTTTGCCTTCTTATGGAGTCTATAAACGCGCTGAATACGAGTAGCTGCCGAGGTGTGTTCCGGAAGAACAACGCTTTCATCGCCACTTGCGCCTGAATTACGTTCGCCTCTTGGTTCCTCGCTTGGCGCGGGATTCGCGTGCGTGCGGCTTGAGGGGGTGGTTTCTTGCGTGGCCAGTGAAGAACTTTCCTCACAGGTAGAAGTTTTTCCCTCGTAACTTGAGCTCCCAGCTCCAATATTGTCAACAGGTTCTGTCCTTTTCACATTTTTTGATTTCTTTTGTAGTCTCTTATTCGTTGTTTTTGAAGAGTTCAAATGTGAGTCTCTCAAATCAGACTGGTCCGCTTGTTCAGACAATTGATGGCCACTCAGCCCATTGTCAGCGCCTTTACTTTCGTTTTCAATGGTTGAGCTTTCGCATGATTCTGTATTATTTTCAGCTGCAGCTGCTATAGTATCATTGATACAAGTTGTCCATTCAGTAGTTCTAGTAACATTTTCAGATTCCTTTTCAGAGTGCGGGATAAGCTCAACAGATGTGGTGCTTGAAACGTTTAGTCTCTCCTGGCCAGCATCTTCTACACTCGCCCCTGGTTCCGACTCCATTTCCACTGAAGCTTCACCTGATTCACTTACCCTCGCTCCCCTCCTACTTTGGGTAGCCTCGGAATTCTGCTCACGACTCCGACGTCTCTTCGGCTCCTCTCCGAACACGCCCGATGTCCCACTCGACTCTGACGAGCTACTAGACATATGAGACGGCGGCGACGAAGACATCGACGAAGATGATGTTGTAGATGACACTGACGTTGAGCGCGACGACGATGTCCGCGCTCTATGACGCTGTCCAGCGCGAAACGATTCTTCAAGCCAGCGTGCAAACATATCAGACATGCGTTGCATGAGGGAATTCTCCGGCGAGGGGTGTTCACTTTCAGGCCTAGCATTGGGGCCTGTATCTGACCAGTCTCCTCGCAGGCGCAGACGTTTCAGTGGTGGTACATTCCGATGACCGTTGCTACCGTTCGAGTATCCATCCTCCGAGTCATCGTCGTGGATTGAACGATGCTGTTTGCTTCCTCGTAACGTAAATAGGTAGACGTAATCAGCACAGTAACTTACAAGGAGTTCACTACCATCAGGGCTGGAAAAGGAAGAGCACAGATTAGGACTACCACTCGCGTTGAAATAATATGTAGTCTCCCCGGCCCTTCAGTAAGCAAGTATCACGAAAATTATTCTCAAAATATTAAAAAATTTCGTATGCTTATCAAAATCCCCGAAATATTTCACACAAGATCCCCACAAGACTCCTCCACTAAATTGTTGAAAGTAATCCTTTGGAAAGTTGACAATTGGTGAAAACAATTTTTTTTTAAGTAGAAGTAATTTTCGAATTACATCTTCCGTCTGGCTCCATATCTAATGTTTCATGGCAAGCTAGAACATATGATCTGATATAATCCAAAATAGAGACAAGATAAAAATTTGGAGTAACTGCAGAATGCCCTGCCACTCATTTACGTGTCATTTAAAAAGAATAGCCTCTATTGTGTTATCTTCGTTCTTCACAAAACCGAAACAACTCATAACAGTAACTTGTGATCATAGACTTAAACTTTTGATTTACATTTACCAAAAGATCATAACATTTTTAGCAAGCTTGATTAGGACTACATGCTTCTCATAAACAGTTTCCACACCTGTAATGAAGTGAAGTAACACGACATGTTCTACCATTGAGTGAATCTGGTCTAAACTGACAGAACATCCCATTCATCTTGTTTGAACTGCTACTGCTCAGTGCACGTCTATCAAACACTCGCACAGTGCTATCTTCACAGCCAACACCCAGGTGGTATGGCATGATAGGATTCAAATTAATGGATGTGATTGCTTTACCACAGTCAATCAGAATGTCCTGTGTTATAAAAAGTAAATAAAAAAAAGTAAATTAAAAAAAGATGTGAGAGATTCCCCACACACAGTAGTACAAATCAGTGACTCCACATAGCAATTTTACTGAGACCTCCTAACCATAAATCAATTCATCATTTTTGGCCACAATGGTATAGATTTATGCAAGTCTACATTAACATAAACACATTAAAATATCAAATAATCATGAATTGACATAGTGGTTTAAAAACCCCAAACTAGCAGGAGGCAGGCCAGTTGGCTATAAACAAAGCACAGCAGGGGAGTTGAACTTGGGGCAACCAAGAATAAATCCAGTAAGCAGCAAGGTGGAGGGCTTGGACCCAGGACCATCAGATTACAAGCCAAGTCTCAAAACCACTCCAGCTACACTGCCACACTGCAATCCAGTTTTCCATTTTAGTTTTATCTTAGATCTACATTCTTTTCCCCTTAGTTTCAAGCTCTTTTTCTCACATTGCAAGAAAAGGTAATCAAAAATTTCAACCCCTTTTTCAAAATAAATGAAATCCAATTGTTTTGCAGAATTGGCTGCATCTAACCAAAAATCGCTTCCTTCACATAATTCATGAGAAGTATTTCATGATCCAAGTGCTGGGGAAAGCTTTCAGTTTTGTTTTTTTGGCAAAGCAAGTTTTATACAACAAATTTAATCTTCAAAAGATTACAAATTAACCCACATAATAAGCCGGTGTTTGCTGTTTTGAGTGAGTTTTAAGAAATCCTGTATAATTTACCTCCTGGTTAAATGTGCATTTGGCCACATAAATTTCACTAATTTTGTGGAAATAGACACAGGCAGATGGTAAATTTTAGGCTTGCTAATGTGAAAGAGTAAGATGTTTTATTGTCTTCTAAAGAATTTGACAGAATCCAAAGGTCTTTGATTCAATTCCCTCCTTAGGACTAAGATTTTTTTCCTAGTCCCATGCTCATCACAAGATACCAAAACATCTTTCTCAAAAAAATGTCCTTATGTCTGAATAAAGGTAATGTGGAACACATTCCATTGATCTTAACTAAGATACTAGTGAAAAATTTTCATGGTAGTAAATTTCTGTAACCTAACAACTACCTCTTTACAATCTCGGCACAAACACTTTGTCTTGGTACGCAAGTCAAACAGTCTGACTGTGCCATCCTCTCCACAGCTTAGGAAGGTGTTAGGATCCCCAGGAGTTGTAATTACCTAGCGTAAAAACAATCAAATAACTGAGATAATTTAGAAGTACAATGTACATTATAAAATATTATACCATAAACTGCCACATATACTGTATGCTCCCCCCCCCTCTCCCTCTTCCTGTTATAGGGCCATCTAGGTGTAACTGAAAAAATACGTCTGGTAATATAAGCCCACCTGGATATAAGCCCCTCTGGTTTTTCCTGTTTTGAGAGATACAAACTCAAAACTACTTCAAATAGAAAATTCCAAAAATATTGTGGACATCCCTTTAATTATCAAAGATGACTTTGAGGGAACAGTCCAAAAATTTCATTATGTTCCAGTTTTGATCATGTGTATGTTTTAATTCTGTTCCAAATTTATTGAAATGACATCAGTCTGTTATGATATTTTAAGGCTTAGTTAGAAACCAGTAAATGGAAAAACTATTATGATAAGCTCTTCTGTAGTTTGTTTCAAAGTGCTTTTTCCACAAAAGTATTCTGGTTGTAAGTCTCCTCATATATATGGTAAGGAAATCCTGTTTAAAGACAACACTGAACTTGGAGCCTTGTGTACTGTACCTCATAAGTGGTTCCTGCATGGCAATTAAACTGAAACTGTCCATGGGCTGTTTCTCTGTTGAGATCTGTAAAGTGAATCATTCCATCTCCAGCACAGGACACTATCTGTTGGTGCACACAACATGTGTATACATTACAAATAAGTTATCTTATTTGATATTGATCAAATGGCTTCTGATAATTGTTTGCTTGATCAAATGCCTCTGAAGCTTTTATAACTGGTATGCACTTTCTAGACTGGTTTTCTCTCTGTTTGAAGCTTTAATGGCTCAGTCAGGGCTTACAGTCTGATAGAATAATGTCACATAGACTTCATAGCCCAGTTGGCATCAGGTTTGAATTGTACCAAAGCATGAAATTTTTCAGGCTACCTATTTGCAACAACTTGTGTGGAAGAATCATTATTCCACTTGAATTTACAACCATAGGTCAAATCAAGTTTATTTCAATAAAAATTATGATCAGATTCCTCCACCAGAAGAAAAAAACCTCTAAAATTTGCCTGACCCTCCCAAAGAGTGGTTTTGTAGCTCAGTTGGTAGTAGCAGCCAACTAGTATCTGTGAGGTGCAGGTTTGAATCCTGTCAAAGCCTAAATTTTTTAGGCTTTCTTTCTGCAAATATTACTGATAATACAGTCTTCCTATCATGATAAAATTACTTTTCGTGACTTTCATTCATTAACAGGTCAAATGAAATTTACTTTATCAAATATTGATATTGTCACATAAGGCTGAACAATATAAGGATATAGATAACATCAAAAGAGTTTAAAAGACAGAACTGAAGTTGTCAATTGGAGACCACCTACCCATTTATCTCCTGAACAAGGCAGAAATTTGGCACTGAAAATATTGGCTCTATGACCAGATCTGATGGAATGCAGTAACTGAAAATAAGATGTTACTATAAGTATCAATGCCAAACATTAATAAATAGAGGGGGTAAAAGAATATGTATGAGCTGACTTTTATCACAAGGTAATCTTAGTTCAATAGTTTAAAACTGTTAATTTGTCCATTGCTTGCCAGAATAAACAGAAAACGTGCTTCAAAACATGTCCATTTTATAGTAGTATTTGAAAAAGACAAGAATTGTAGTGTAAATTACAAGACTTGATGTGCTGAAGGCCTACTGGGAATACTTTCCAATCCTCCTCATCCTAAATATTTGTCTAAGTTAACCTTAACGCGACGAGGACTTAACAGATGTGCTTAACAATAACTGTAAACCTCTAACATAAATGTCACAAAATTGTTTGGATCAGACTCTAGACAGTGGGTACCATTCATGATTGAAAAAAAAAAAAAATTTTACTAAAGATGCTGATGAGATTATGACATAAAATTGTGCTCTGAACCTTTCTTTTTGTTGGCTGGTAAATGTTAAGACGACAATCATCCGCTCCAGAGAGAAGATAGCTGCCACTCTCATTCCAAGCTATACTATTAACCTACAGAATAAACACATTAGATAAAATAGTATCATCAAATGAGAAACCGCCTCCTGGTTAGCTTTAAACCGCCTCCCAGTTAGCTCAATGGATAGAGTGCTCAGCTGGACTGTTGTGCGGGAGGTCGAGGGTTCAAGCCCTGACTGGACCAACACTCAAGGTCTTAAAATAATTGAGAAAAATATGCTACCTTTCCATAACATCAAATAAATGGTTAGATATTCTAGTCTTCTCGGATAGGGAAGAATAAATGGACGTCCCGTCTCCTGCAGGGTTAGGGGTAGGAGACATTAATTTCCTATGCACGAGATTACTGTGTGGTGGATGTCCTCCCCTGGGGTGGGATGGGTGGATTTACTGGGCCCGTGGTAAGTGGCACAAGCTGTCACATTGTCCCTGTCTGTCGGTGAAGTTAAATAAATTAAATTAAAATTAAATTAGAAAATAAGGAATGTTAAACATGTATGATGAGAGAGTGCCATGAACCTGGAACCATTTACATTTCAGTGGTTGGTGTTTCAACTAAATCCTCTCAAGAAAGCCACAATTTGGTAGAGATTCCAAATCCAAAATTTTCTCGTTGAACCAAGGGAAATGGCAATTTTCATCAACCTTGTCAAAGGCAAAACTAATCCAAGTAAACTCTTAAATCGGTGGCCAATTTACCATTTCAACTTTGTTGATATATCCAAATTGTTTCTTAAATCTTTAGGCTGAAAGAAAAGGCTGAGTCTATTTGGACCTGGTTACAACTGTCAACCTTAAACTCATATGATATACCAGCATAAATTATTATCTCTCCTTCCATTATTATTGCTGAATCAAACATTAAAGTACTGAGAATAAAGGAAAAGATCATAACTTAGCACTTGATTGTCAAACAAATCATCAATAGCATAGCAAATGTACTGAAAGCAGTACACAGAAAATGAATACTGAGAGGGAGAAAGAGGGGGGTAGGGAGGGAAGGGTGGGGGTGTAAATAGACAAGTGCCCTTTCAGTGTAATATATCTGCTTTTTCTTTTCCTTTTCAATTTAAAAAGGAATCACTGTTATCCAGAGACACAATATAAAACTAACTCAAAACTTACACAGCCTTCATGCCCCGTCAGAGCTGTTTCTTTTTGCAAGCACTGCAGCAGATATTTACTTCCTATCCAGGAAATGCGCAAAAAAAGCAAGTAATCATTTGTTAGTACTTAATCCTGAAATCCTTCCAATCAAACGATTTTCTATCACCTTCATGACTGATATTAGTTCACAGGCATGAAAATTTTTTGAGAATAGCGGAGGACAACCCAGGAAGCCTTTTTATTTTTTCGTCGGAAGCAAAACTGAAAACGTGTGGCTGATTTTCACGGATTTTTTTATCTCCATTTGTACTTTTTTTTTTAATTGGGCAAAACTCGCGGCCGATAAAGAAATATCCTTGGCTACATACAGGAACAAATACTGGAAAAACAGCTAAAACAGCTGAGAGATCAATAGATCTTTCAAATTTAAGCTTAAAATCTTTCCATCGATCCATCAAACAAGATCAGAAACTAGTATTTTGAACATACCTCTGGCCCTCTTCATTGACATGCCAGGCGGCAAGCCACCATAAACCCTCTGTTGTAAATTGTGATGCAGAGTAGTTCTATTCTGCATGTTTAGGGCGTTAATGAGAAACAGAACTTTATAAACACGACCACAGCGGGTCTAGATAGATGACAGTCAAAATACCGCCATCTTGGATTTAGTGATAGTGTTTAGGTTGTGCGCATGTGTCTGGACCCGTCTCAGGACTCTCAGGACCCCCTTCCAGATGTTGTGCGCCCGCGATTGACTATAGGGCTAAGAGGTCCGCGGCCGGTCTCACGCGTTAACTTTTATCATAACAAGTAGCTAAGCTTCAACGGAAATTGGAAAAGGGTTCGAGTCATCACAAGATGAGGAAAAACTAATCCATGTCAATGATGGATCTCGAGGACAGATCAGGGCGGGATATCAGACCTATGAGCTTTCTTGGTATTTTCCTGACACTAACATTCATTCTTGCAATGACAAGTTCGCCAAATAACAGACTAAAGCACGCGTTAGTGTGGAACACACTTACAAAAAATTCCACTAATTTTGGGGTGCTCTCTGACAGTCTACCTTGGCTTCTGCTTGAAAAGCATAAGCATTGACCGGGGTTCACATAACAAACACGGAAATACACAGATCCAAAACATATAACATAACATAACATTTATTCAGGAAGCTAGAACGCAAATGTAAAAAATACATCCTGAAAAGGGAAAATCGTGAGGTTAGCCCTGTATAAAAACAATTTCCCAGTACAATTTGATGACCTATGTCGAAAATCCTCCAGTGAACCTCCAAAGTGGTGGGATCGATGGGCGCCGACGGAGAGAGCTAGCATCATGGTAAGAAAGAGGATATCTGTCATAACCGTCCGTTTTAAGTTCGTTCCAAAAAGTCCCAAGGCCACGTCTTTTATGATATAGCACCTACATCTCATGGAAACATAATTCTTGACTCGCCATTTTCCGTTGAGGGAGGCCGAAGGGGTGCTCGTGAGGGGCCTCTCGGCTCCTTTGCATGAAGGGATTCTTCTCAAGGGATTCGCTCCTCCTTGAAATAAATGGATATCTGGGCAAGATGTGGTTTTCACGGGTCTCTGCTCTCCCCTCTACGACGAAAATTTTGCTTATGAGCATTTTCGTTGATATTTATACGAAAACCAACTCGAACTTTAATGCAATATTCCAACTCAGAGTCAAACCCAATTGCAAACTCAGATTTCGGAATTCTCTGAGAGGGAGGTACCTGACATTTCGGTAAAATGCTTCGCAACACTCAACAATTTTCGATATTTTGATCCGTGAAACCGATTTCCTATAAAATGATGTTATTTGCGAGACCATAGAAATAGAAATAAAGTCACGAGTAGGCTCACGCTTCCAACGCTTGATTAAGTTCCTCAAGAAAAGCAAAGATCCTCGCAGATGAGCTTCAGCTGAAGAAAAGAAGCCTGAGTCAAGCCTGGGCTTTTTTCACGAAATTTGCACACTCCGCCGCTGCTTTATTTTATGTTCTTTAAGGCGGCTCCTTTCCGCAAACGCAATTATCGGCGTATGCATCTGCTTTTTTTACGAGAACGATTCACTCGAAAGGAAAATAGCTTTTATTTCAACATTAATTTCGTTAACGCTAAATTGCGCATTATTTTCCATCCTTTGTTCCAAGGTAAATATATTTGACCAACCATGCGCAAAAAAGAGCGCACAAAATTATTCAGCATTACCGATTTTTTTACAGTCTGATGCACTCTCCGAATAAACACTTCACTACGATTATAATTAATGATTGGGATAAATGACAATGATTTTGCATGCCGTTCAGAGATACAATTTGTAAGAGGTTGCATTTTTTTTAAACTTGATGAAACTTGTTCGTTTGCGATCATGGCGTTTAACGCCATGAAGAATCGCTTTTTCGCGACAAGCCGGAGGAGTACGTTCAGTCTACCCAAAATAGCGCATCTTTTGGCGTAGCTGTTATGGTAGATGGCTCTGGATTTCGCCTCAAAGGGCTTGGCACGTTAATAATTGTAAACAACTGCGGTCTATAGTTTCCATTTACAGTTACCTTGCGCCAAAAGCTCCCGCCAAAAATGACTAAAACTACGCTACAAGAACTTTCCGCAAATTTGTATTTCTTTGTGACTTCTAAAGAAATACGACAATTTTCGCCAAAAGCAAAGCATTTCACGTGAAACTGACTAAGGATTAAGATAAATTTTATCATTCAATGACTTAGGCTAACAGTTTGACTGAGATTTTGTCCGCTTGATTGATTTTCCTTACATGAATTAGCAGAGTTACATAAATTTTCTGTTTGTGTATGTGCCGGAGTAGTTCATAATTCGTCCCATTCCGAATCGACCAGCAAACAGCAAGCGCGCGCCCTTAGAAGCTGTCTTTTGAACACTCAGGGAAACTTTTATCTCATTGGTAGGTGATCTTGAAGAATTTTTCAAGTTATTCGTTTTTTAGTTACCACTCAAGCCAGAAGGTAACGTTAGTGTACTAAATAGCGTTATTATTAATACATAATTTTGTAAGTTCCTTTCATTTGGTTTAACGCAAATTTTAATGACTTCTCTCTCTTCGGTCAAAACTGTATGATAACAAAACGGATAGAGGGAATCAAAAATTAAATTTCTTTGACATTTATTTGTTCTGGATCGGACTTTAAGAGCTGTTCGATGAGTATTTTTGTTTCTGTTTTATTACGATCTTATAGCCAATAGTACTTCTCTCTTATCCAAGCGTGTTCTATACAATTTTTCGGTTCTAAGAAATAAGGCTGATGAAAGCAAAACTCTTTCGATGATTTTACCAGACGAACATGCACTTCAATTTCTCTCGCCAAAATTTATCAGCTTTAAATTAAACTTGTTATGTTTCACTTAGCGCACAGATTTCAAACGGATATTGTTTCCCGCCAATTCCGGCCGCCAATTAACTTTTATTCCACATTATTAGAACGAATGATTTAAGAATATTTACCCCTAGCTGACAAATTGCATTTTCTACTTCTTTGCATTAAAACTTTTCCAGGTAATAATTATGAACAAATATTTTGTACAACAAAGTATGAAGTAATGATCGAACGATCGAGTTTTCGGTCATTTGAATTGGTAATTAGACTCAAGTACTGAGGCTATTTATGCCTTCTTGATTTGCGTTATTTTGCATGACACAAAATTCAAATCTATAAAACTCTGAAACACAGCGAGCACTGACATATAATTTTGAAAGAAAAAACCGTGTTTCCGTAAATGTGGGCTCTTATTCCAAAGCGAGCTCTCCTTCAATTTTCTGGGTGCTACGCATGCGTTTGTATTGATCCTGTTGGGAGTAATAAGGATTCATGAACACGAAAAGGAGGCAACTATACGCCAGTCACGCTCTTACTTACCGCTCACAGAAACTGCTTGCAACTTAGCTTATTTTCGCAGCAATTTAAGAGGAAAAATATCGTTCACATTCTGCACGGAACATTACCTGCGTTATATACTTCAAACCTGGTGAAGTGGAAACTGTAAAACGGAAGGTGTTGGCTTGACTTCGCGAACGAAGATTAAAAAGGTTGTCCACGCTGACCTCGGCTGCAGGCACGTTCGTGGATAAACAGACCGATGGGGGAAAGGCAGATCCGCGGGCAGTATTTGCAGAGAAAGGTGGTGTCAGGAGTGAAGGCGGAGGCGGCGCGGACTTTCCTCCTCTGACGCTTGTCTTTGAGTACCTCACGTCTATCCTTCTCAAATTGAGCAGTGGCTTGGTTGATTGTGTGGCGCCAGGTACCACGGTCTGTAGCCAGGTCAGACCACTCGTTTTTGTCGATGTTGCAGGTGCTGAGTGACTTCTTTAGGCTGTCCTTGAACCTCTTCTATGGAGCCCCTCTCTCAGGATGTCCGGTGGAGAGTTCACCGTACATGACAATCTTAGGTAGGCGGTGGTCTTCCATTTGGGAAACATGACCAGCCCATCGGAGCTGGTGCTTCAGGATCATGGCTTCAATGCTGGGAATCTCGGTCTGCTCCAGGACTTCGACATCGGTGTTGAAGTCACACCAGTGGATGTTGAGGATGGTGCGCAGGCAGCGCTGATGGAAGCGCTCGAGGAGGCGGATGTGGCTGCGGTAAGTTACCCATGTCTCAGAGCCGTAGAGGAGGGTGGTGAGAACGACAGCCCTGTAGAGGCGGATCTTTGTTTTGCTTTTCAGGCTCTTGTTGCTCCAGACTCGTTTGTATAGTCTGCCGAAAGAACTATTTGTCTTTGCCAGTCTGTTGTTTATTTCCTTGTCCATCTTAGCGTCGGATGAGAAGTTGCAACCCAAGTAGGTAAACTGCTGGATTGATTTCAGATCTGTGTCGTCTATGCTGATGGTAAAAACGGATGCTAAAACGGATGGTAATAACGGATGCTAAAACGAATGGTATATTGATGCGAATTTGTTCTTTTAAAGAGAAGCATAATTATGCGTTGTTATCGATTTTTTTTTTTTTAAGCGGGCGATATGGGAAGTTTCTGCTGGGGCCAACCATCAAACGGCTAAATAGCCTACAATTTAATCTCCCTCCATCAACTGTTAAAAATATCTCGACGATTCGACGATTGCATGTTTGCACCGAGTTGATAACGAGACCTGTCGGCTGGCTGTAAATTTAGCGGCTTAAGTTGTTACTCATCTTACTCCGCACAATTGTACCAAAGATAAAGGAATAACAAATTAAAAGCTTAAAATTGAACAATTTTAGTTTTAGTGCCGAAAGTGATCCGGGAAACGATGTGCACTGCTTTTAGTAGTGCACTACCTTCTATTGGTTTGTCGATAGAAATAAGATAGAGTTATACACAGTTGAATCATTTTCAGCGAGTTACATCTCATTGTAAAAACATTAACGGAGAAGAAATGGCAAAAAAAAAAAACGCCGGAGGATTACTATAAATTTACTGGCATCGTATCACAAGGGCTGCAGTCAAATAAGCTACGGTATGTCATCGCAATCTATTCCAGCCGTGATCCTGACGAAATAGCGCGTGAAGACAAAAGAACGTCGCGTGACTTACTTTGTATTGTTATTTGAAAAAATATGAGCCTGTTTTGTTTTTTATTTTTTAACAAAATGGTACATTCATGTCGTGAACAAGTAGATTTATTAGCTCCGGATTTCCAGTTGATTCGAGTTTCGCCCCCATCAATTAGACATCTCAAGCCCATAATCTAATTGTTAATTAACCAATCAAAACAGAACCAAATTTTCAAATGATTAGAACAAATTTTTTATTTGCGTAGAGACAGCAGTTAAATGAACACAAACGTGGATATTCCCTGAATAATTTCATATTTAGGGTAAAAGCTATTTTTCTCGAGAATTAGCTGCTACAAATAAATCGTGCGTCTCTCAGTTTTCCACTGTGCAGTGCTGACCTTGGGCTGAAGAAACGAACCGATTAATATTAAGAAGTATTTTTTTTAATCGTGCGGTTTTCAAGAGTGTATAAATCATTTGAAGCGGTCTCTATCGGTTTGTCTGTAGAAACGAGAGAGTGTTTCACACAGCTGAATCATATGTAGCGAGATACATCTTATCGTAACAACATGCAGCAATGGATCGAGAAGAAATAGCCAAAAAAATCGCCGAAAAGAGTTTTTTTCTCGAGAATTAGCTGCTACAAATGATTCGTGCGCCACTCAGTTTTACTGTGTAATGCTGACCTTAGGCTAGAAAAAACTAACCGATTAAATTTGAGAAGCATTTTTTTTACCGTGCGGTTTTCAAGAGTACATTAATTATTTGAAGCAGTCTCACGGGCATATACCGTCAGTTTTATATCACAAATCTTAACAACTTCACCTCCTTAAAGATATACCCGAACTCCATAGGCAGAATACAATATAAATTTCAATCAATTTTTTTTCTTTAATCTCTTCCTCTGTTTTCTTGTTAGAGACAGCGAAATTTTTAGAACAAATCAGATTAAGTCATATACAAATGCGATCAAAATTTTGCCACCCCCAGAGCGGAATTCTTTCCAAAAACCCCTCAATGAGTGTCTGATTTTGCAGAGCCCCGTTCGGCATTTGCTGGTCTTTTTCGAAAACTTTTATTTCTATCGGGTAGTTCAATTGACTTTTCATTTTAAACCTCAGAACCACAAACTCCACCAACCAGAAACGTCCGATTATAGTTAGGTAGAAGAAATATTCAGTAAGACTGGAGAAAAACACCCCCTTTTACAGAATATCAAGTTTTGTACGAAATTACAACCTTACTTAATAAGTTTTCGAGCGTTTAAGGAGTTTGACGAGTGACAAAAAAGAATATTTCCGTTGCTAATCCTTTTACCTGTCAACAAAGGTTCGATTCACCAGCACGAAATGTATGGAAAGGATTTTTTAATACGAGTAACTGTAGTGTAATCATATTAAAAATGCGTCGGCGGCGGCGGAAACGGATGTTCCTCGAAGAGTCAGACAGGATTCCGCTCTTCATTTCAAGAAGCCAGTTTATGCCCAGTGGCGAGGACGGTGAAATCTTCTCAGCAAAGTATAGCATAATCATCCGGTCTGCGATCAACAGGTGCCTCTTTCCTTGAAAACTGAGCGGAAAATAGAGACAACCTCGGCGGATTTAAAAAAAAAAAAAGAGAGAGATCTAATTGTAATTGGATCGAAGAAGACAAATACCAGAGGCACACAAGGTATTCTATAATATTATTCACGGAAACAACTCTCCGTAGTCTTCATCAGGGGACAGTTCCAGCTAAAAATCGTTAAACTTCTTACACGTATCTTGAAACTGAGCAGCATTTTTTTAGCGGAAACAAGCTTCTGATACTTCATTATTGTAAATTATATTTGTCGGGTGGGAGAGGGATTAGGAGAACCCTTGCCTATCCCTTCCCCATTGGTACAGGACATAGCAGGCATGTTAGGCGCATAGAGGGATGTCAGGGATGTTTCTTTATCTTCTTGTCAATGAACGGTGGCGTTTTCCATCAGTACTTTTCTTGGTAAAGAAGTCCTAAAAGAAAAAAAATTTAAATGAATATCTGATCAAAATTTCTAGATGGGTAAAGCTATTGATAATTGCTCCGTCACGGCGCCTCTGTGCAAATGTAAGGAAAATCTCGATTAAAAAGAATATTTAGTCAGTTTTCTTACGGTATAGATATTCCGCATAGAAATTAGCAATTATATTTGTCGTGCATGTCGGTGGGGGTCAGGCAGCGCACTACCTACCCCTCCCCCATCACACTCTTGCTGTTCCAGTAAAGGATATAGGAACTTTAGTGAAGTATCGCATTGAAAAATACTGTTTTACTCGCATAACTCGACGAAAAAAAAACTCAATCGAAAAAAGATATACCAAATGTACTTAGTATTTCCCAATTCTCTTGCGTTATCTGCCGACAGGACTAATACAGAGTTGTTTGTGACAAAAAAATTCCAAAAATTTTGATCAAAACCGAAAACCACATCCAAAACTGTCAAAACCGATAGATTTTCACATCCCGGTTATTAAAACCCTGATCGATCCGATACAGTGGTGACAAGTGGAGCATACAGAGTAAACTACACTAATTTCATTACAGTATTTGTGAATGACATGGACTTGGCATTCGTATCTTCTAGTATATGCTTACACTATAGGCTTAATTTCAGCTGCTCTCCCGAGGTCCAGTAAGAGTGAATCGCCCTGAAACTCTCCTTTTTTTCATTTTCGTTGCTTCCCCGCCATGGAACAGACGCCCATAGTTAGTCATAATCTCCCTCACCGATCGCGAATTTCCAATTTATCATAGGTGGAGATATCGCGTATTCTAAGTATATAAGGACTGTAAGTCTTCTTTTAGTCTGTATTGTCCTAAACGAGCCATATATTATATGTATAGCAGGGGTGTAGCATGAGATTTCGAAGGTGTATGCTGACAGAAGCGGAGATTGGGAGCGCCGAAGGTGCCCCAGACTAGGAGGGACTGGGGGCATGCTCCCCCAGAAAATTTTGGAATTTAGCGTCTCGGAAATGCCATTTCGAACTATTTCCGCGGAACGTTTATAAATAAATTTTATAAATAAATGCGACGGAAAATGCAGTAGTTAGTTGTTTATTTACCCATCTCTACAGTTTTAAAGCTAAAAGGTTCGTTGGCTTCCTAAAATATATATAATGCATCAAAAATATATGTAATGGATTAATGAAAAGGCACTGGAGAAAAAAACACACGCGCTAGTATAATTCGAACTTTAAAATGGGTCCTATTTTATGGTAACTGCGACAAATGCTATAAGGGAATGAAATAAAAGTTTTCCCGATTTCAGCTGTACGCACGGGCGTACGTGCGTATATGGACGCTACGCCCCCTGTATAGGCTATTGTAATGTAGATAATGACATTGGTATGGTAACTTACCAAACACAACACTGTTTTTGTGCTTGTGCAGGCTTCTTCTCTCTTCCTCTCTTACTTTGTATCTAAACTTGTTTTCCTTTCTTCGAAAAAAAACACCACACAATCCACGATTGCTTCTTGAGGTCCTTGACCTTCTTCCGTTGCCGGCACGTTTGACACGTTGGAAGACATGGTTCGCAAAATGATCGACCTTAACCTAAGTGCTCCTCATTGCAAGGTCAAAGTTTTGGGCGTCATTCAAGATGCGTGAACACCCACGGATGGACAAAGTCTTAGGCGTCATTCAAGACGTGTAAACCCCCTAGGGATCCCTACGATATTTCAATTGGTTTGTCACGCATTCCTCTCAATAACATTTGCGTTTAGCGGCTATTCGAGATCAATGGAGGGGCGTGATTGCCGCTCAGATCGAAGAGAAACCGAAACCTAAATAGGTCAAATAGGAAAAACCGAAAACTACACCGGATATCAAATCCGAAAACCCGTTAGTATTTTTCGCGAAAACCGAAAACCAAATGCTTTAAAACGGAAAATCCGCAAACTGCAGTGAATACCAAAACCAAAAAACAGACGTTTTTTAGCACAAAAACCGAAAAACCGATCTAAAAAAATTTGCCAAAAATCCCAATGTCCCCGTCTTATTATCATCATCATATTTTAGACATACAACGTCTCGTTATTAAATCAAAATACTAAAAGTACTTGATTTTTTTAGATTCAGATCCCTGGAGAAATCATGTTATTGGCTTATATCGTTGTCCTGTATGGAGCAGGTAGGGAAGAGTATGTAATTGAAATATAAAATTTTCATTAAGTATGAGGAAATGCTTTATTTTCTCTACTTAAATACAATCTTTGGACTTCGTTTTCGCCGACTCTTTCCCAGACCCTTCTTCTCTCTCTTTGAGATTTAAATCTCTAGAAGTGTATGATAATGGGTGGGAACGAGTCATAAAGCCCGAAACGAAGGGTACGGCAGGAAAGCGCAACTATCTTGGGGGCACTTATCCCAGAAACGACTGCGATGACGACTCTTGTGAGGCATGACCTTGAGGCACGTTCCATTGGTATGCTGCAACGAAGCTATTTAGAATCTGACAAGGAGAAACGGATTGAAAACTTTTACTTAAGATCCTCTCCCACGCTCCCACCCCCACAAAGTGAAGAAAAAAGATCAAAAGTTTAATATTCTTTCTAACAAGATGTATCCATTTCTCTCCCCGACTCGAAGGCAACTGGATAGTGCACGGTGAGACTTATGGTCCTTGGAGTGATTGGTCCCCATGTAGTGTTCAAGTAGGGGAGGGATTCATGACAAGAAACCGTGACTGTATTGTGGAGGATTGCCCTTCACCTGGAGAGTACATAGACTATATGAAATGCTTTGTGAAGCCGTGCCCTTGTGAATGTCCTACCGCTACAGGTAATTGACTCACAGAAAGTGATTTGACCTTTTGCTCGGTTGAATGAATGATCAGAGCCGTGAGCCGACTGACCAAGTGTTCTGACAGACTAGCCGACCAACTGACCAAAAAACCAACTGAATGACTAGCTGACTGACTGGATGATCAACTGATCAACCGCCTTAACCGACGAAATCATAGACAAGCAGACTAACTCACTAGCTGATAAACTGAACGACTAAGTGACACATCGACTGATTGAGTAATCTGTTAATCAGTTATATAAAATGAATAATTGACTACCGAGCTGACTAACAGACGTATTGACTAGATAATTAGCTGACTTCATGATTCGCTGACTGGCCGGCCCGATGATTGACTAATCAGCAGAATGACCGGCTGACTGGCTGACTGGCTGACCAAGTGATAGAAAGAAAAAAAATGCAACTACGGTCATAATTATGTTACATGAAAGTTTCGGTAAATGTGACCTGTTTTATGTGACGTGTTTAAATATCTGATCTGCAGAAGGACCAGGAACAAAGGCGCCACAAACTGAAAGGAGTTACTTACTTTTATATTCACAACTTTATTTAGCTCTAATAAAATGTCTGAGTTCTGATCGACCCTGCAAGAATGGATTTTTCACGTGATTGGTGTAAGATACCTTCTAAAAACCGTCTAATAACGACGTTTTGTAACTGATCTGTGATTGGACACACTTAAAGATGACTATCACGAGCGTGTTCTTTTATCGCACATAATTACAGGCCCTCGCTGCTAACAGTCGAGGCCTACTTAAGACTCCACCGGGTCCAGACAGATGTTCTTTCCCAATATGCTAGGCAAAAGAAATCTGTTACCTCTCTAAGGCTCAAGATCCCGTAAAACCTCACCCTGTTTGTGACACATTCCCGTTAAAGTCAAAAAGGGTGTGTCCCCCTACCCCGTCCCCCCTCCCCCAAGAGCTCTCAAGTTATATCAGTATTGACAACAGTTATAAAATCCCATTTTTGTATCTTTTCATTTGTGATAGGTACAATCCAAATTGAAGTTGAAGAAGGATCGACCACAGCTGGTGGGTTAAGTTACTCTGATTTTTATAATTGACTTCTAACACTTAATTTTATTGCAGTCATCTTAAATGGTGTTCTTAAAGGTGTAAAATGTTAATATTTCTTTTCTGTCTTCAATAAACACACAAGCTAGAAACTTCCTTTTGAATCAAAGGTACTTTAAAGGTCGTAATTCGTTCATGAATCTTTGGCATATTGCGAGGTTATTACAAAAGGACAAAACGATTTCCACGAAAACGTAAACAAATCAATTTTTGCTCTTCAAGGTTCCCCCAATTCACGTTACTGCGAGTCAGAATTCCCTTTGATTTCAACTTTGTTCTTTTTCAGGACCAGTAACTAACCCAGGTGGTAAGTCCTCTTAAGTGTAAAAACTTCTCTAGCTGCAAGTTTTCTATCACAACTGTGTATAGAATTTTCCGGCAGAAGAGTGCTGGTAATTCCGATTGGTATAATCGACTTGATTCGCATTTTAACTCGCTTCAGTTCTTCATCGATTTCACCGGTCTAATATGATATAAGCTTGCGAAGCCAATTAATCCCTTCTATCTACAATCTTCGGTGTCTACGACTCCTTCGACCTAAACTGAAGATCGAGCTGTTTGCCTTCTAGGAATCGCATTCGTTCTTGCACCTGCATACTCTCTCAAAGAGTCTTCACCCAAAAAACCATTTTAATGAGTCATCTTTGACCTCCCTTCACTTTTAAATAATTTGCAGCAACTGGTACTATTGGCATTGAGGTGGAGGAGGAGTCCTCAACTGCTGGTAGGTCTCAGTACAATAAAAATTAAAAAGATGTATGTATATTTTTACGAACTTTTCGGGACCAGTATAGATTGGTGTAGACGGTCAGTTAACAATTATTTGACGAGGTCTAGCATCATAGCGATAATTATCAAGGCCAAAGTTTGCGTTATCTGCCGAAGCCGAAGGCTAAGGCGAATAACACGTACTGAGGCCTCGATAATTATCGCTATCATGTGAAAACCGAATCCAATAATTGTTTTATTATGCATATTCCTGAGCTGTACTTGAAAAGGCAAGAGCGCACAATACTATTGTCTGTAGATATGACGTCACTTCTATGACGTAAGAGAATGTATAATAATAAATGTTGATGTGCAGAGGCCTGATATGTAATCTATCTGACAAGTACTTTATCTAACATAATGATAATTACATTCCTTTTTCTTATGAGTTATTATTTTCTCTTCCAGCACCACGACCTACTGCCCCGACTGGTAAGTCACACTGGGATTTACACAATTTTTTTTGTATCATAGTTTGTGCAGTTTTGGTTTGTCAATAGTTTGATTCAATTTGGAGACATAACTTTTTAGCACTTATAAAACAGTCGTTACGAGCTTGAGAAAATAAGACAAAAACAAAGGAAAAAAAAAACAGGCTGAGTCTCCTATATGGTGGCTTCAATTCGCCTGCTACCCCGCGTTAGAAATCATAAATGGGTGCAGAGAAACACAGATAAGCCGAATCAATCGAGTGAAGTGAAAAAAAGACAAGTATTTTATTGGACAGACAAGACTTAAACTCCTCGGACAAGGAAAAAATTTGGGCTAAATCATTCGACAGCAGAGCTATTGCATTTTATCTGATTGAAATGTCTTTTTATCACTTTCTGGAAAAAGAAATAATCACTAAAAGTGGTAAATAAGCAATCATAAACAGCTAAGGTATCTCCTCTAAATTAGGTTCATTGAATGTACAGCCTGTTTTTTCTTAATTTTTTCCAGGACCAAAAGCAACTACCTCTAGTGGTGAGTCTATACGCTCAACAATTGTTCAAGTGCTTTACTCTCTGCAAAAAGCCTACATCTTGTTACTTTTAGATTCAGCGAGTTTGATGAACAATGGACCTTATCGGGCTCTAGAGAATGAACATTAAAGCTTGTGAGGACTATTTCCCCGAAGTCTCACACAGATGTCTTTCTTTCAACGCTGAATTTTGAAAAAAGCGAAATTGGGCTTTCAATCAGACTAATATAATTGGCACCAATTGTATCTTTTACCAAAAGTGCCACTGCAAGTAATGCATGCGGCTTTCAGAACTCGAAATTCTTTGAATTGAAATTTACCAAAGGTAATATTATTTAAAGACTTCTTATCACTAGTGTTTGAGAATATAAAAACTGAACCATTAATATTGAGGCTGAATTAACCAAAGATTAAGAAAACCTGGTCTAAGACCTTGCTTATCACATGACATCGCCCTGACACTAAACTTATGGTTTGCTGCCTTTTTCTCATTAAGGACAAGGTCAGATAAAAATCCCCACCGGAGGACCGGCTGGGAAGAAATAAAACAGATTATTTCAAAACAAAACGACTACAACCTTTACATGAAAGACAATTATCTACGATTGGTGACGAGGACATTAGACTATAAGATTATTAATTTCTTTGCGTACCAAATTTTAGATAAAAGTAAAACAAGACGTCCTTTTCCTTTTGATTCTATTTTTTTTACAAGTCCCATTTGATGTCAACTTTATTTTCTTTTTTTTTTATTTTCAAAGCAGAGAAAGAAACAACATCGGCTCCTGGAGAAGGAGAAGAGGAAGGAACTACATCTGCTCCTGGAGAGGGAGAAAAAGAAGGAACAACATCGGCTCCTGGAGAAGGAGAAAAAGAAGGAACTACATCGGCTCCTGGAGAGGGAGAAAAAAAAGAAACAACATCGGCTCCTAAAGGAGGAGAAGAAGAAGGAACTACATCGGCTCCTGAAAAAGGAGAAGAGGAAGGAACTACATCGGCTCCCGGAGAAGTAGAAGAAGAAGGAACTACATCGGCTCCTGGAAAAGGACAACAAGGAACTACATCGGCTCATGGAAAAGGAGAAGAGGAAGGAACTACATCGGCTCCTGGACAAGTAGAAGAAAAAGCAACTACATCGGCTCATGGAGAAGGAGAAGAAGAACGAACTACATCGGCTCCTGGAGGAGGAGAAGAAGAAGGAACTACATCGGCTCCTGGAGAAGGAGAAGAAGAAGGAACTACCTCGGCTCCTGGAGAAGGAGAAGAAGAAGGAACTACATCGGCTCCTGGAGAAGGAGAAGAGAAAGGAACTACATCGGCTCATGGAGAAGTAGAAGAAGAAGGAACGACATCGGCTCCTGGAGAAGGAGAAGAAGAAGGAACTACATCGGCTCCTGTAGGAGGAGAAGAAAAAGGACCTACATCGGCTCCTGGAGAAGGAGAAGAGGAAGGAACTACATCGCCTCCTGAAAAAGGAGAAGAAGAAGGAGCTACATCGGCTCCTGGAGAAGGAGAAAAAGAAGAAAATACATCGGTTCCTGGAGAAGGAGAAGAGGAAGCAACTACATCGACTCCTGGAGAAGGAGAAGAAAAAGGAACTACATCGGCTCCTGGAGAAGGAGAAGAGGAAGGAACTACATCGGCTCCTGGTGAGGTAAAAGAGGAAGGAACTACATCGGCTCCTGGAGCAGGAGAAAAAGAAGGAACTCCATCGACTCCTGGAGAAGGAGAAGACGAAAGAACTACATCGGCTCCTGGACAGGGAGAAAAAGAAGGAACAACATCGGCTCCTGGAGAAGGACAAAACGAAGAAACAACATCGACTCCTGAAGGAGGAGAAGAACAAAGAACTACATCGGCTCCTGGAAAAGAAGAAGAGGAAGGAACTACCTCGGCTCCTGGAGAAGGAAAAGTAGAAGGACCTACATCAGCTCCTGGAAAAGGAGAAAAAGAAGGAACTACATCGCCTCCTGGAGGAGGAGAAGAAGAAGAAGGAACTACATCGGCTCCTGGAGAAGGACAAGAAAAAGGAACTACATCGGCTCCTGGAGAAGGAGAAGAAGAACGAACTACCTCGGCTCCTGGAGAAGGACAAGAAAAAGGAACTACATCGGCTCCTGGAGAAGGACAAGAAAAAGGAACTACTTCGGCTCCTGGAGCAGGAGAAAAAGGAGCAACTACATCGACTCTTGGAGAAGGAGAAGAGGGAGGAACTACATCGCCTCCTAGGGAAGGAGAAGAAAAAGGAACTACATCGGCTCCTGGAGAAGAAGAAGAAGAAGGAACTACCTCGGCTCCTGGAGAAGGAGAAAAAGAAGGAACTACATCGCCTCCTGGAGGAAGAGAAGAAGAAAGAACGACATCGGCTCCTGGAGAAGGAGAAGAAGAAGGAACTACCTCGGCTCCTGGAGAAGGAGAAAAAGAAGGAACTACATCGGCTCCTGGAGAAGGAGAAC